TGCCACAAGACCATGCAGCGATCAAGTGATGAAATATAAAAGGTGAATAACTAGATGAGCAGTTTGAGAGGTACTATCCAAGGTGAGCAGGAAACTTGTGACGGGGCTGCTCTTGTGGAGGTGTTACAGAGGGAGCTCTACACGAAGTGCAGAACTCCCTCACCACAACAGATCTCCTACAAACCAGAAGTCTCCAGCATGGTGTTGCAACCTGCAGAAGTTTCAACTAAGGCCATGTCAGTGTCTTATCTTGGAACTGGGGATAGTCTACAGACCACAGAACCTGTCAAAGGTCTGGAACAGTTGAACAGTGCCAACCTGCCTAATCCATAGCAAGTCCTTGGAGGTCTACCTATATAACCTATGAAGGATAAATCTCACTTGCAAACTGTCAAAAAAGGGCAAGGACAGTCTGGGCATTCTCCTAAGTAATTATGTGCCCCGATGGAAAAAAAAAACCAACAAAAAAACCTTACCAACCCCCAAAAATGCCAGTGTCTTAACTGGATGCAAGTGTGTGAAATTTAATTTCCCTGAGGGCTGAGAGTGAAGATTGGGTAAGAAAACTGGGACACGAATGGATTGGTTCATATGAAAACCTGAAACAGCCCTGGGCAGAAATTTGGAAGTATTATGAAATACCATATAAGAAGAATCCATCTTCATATGCAGGGAGTAACTCAAGATGGGAGATGTAGCAACACAAACAAATCTCTCAAGAGGTTCTACAAAGAGACATATAGAAGGTTTTAAATGAAATTTTTGCATTCTGTGGTGGGAATACAGGATGTGGCAATCCAGTTCCATGGTGTTACACAAATATTTGTACCAGATGACTTGGACAGAACTAATTAAAAAGTCCAGATGCTTTGAACATATGAGATAGACAACAACACTGCTGATATTGCTGATATCAGAGATATCAGACAGCTGATGCTCGTATGATCAAAGTTAAATGTCTTCCCATCTGGTTTGGATAGTCAGTTGAGGATGTTTTAGCCTGGTGCACAATAACTTTTGGTAGATACCATACAGACAGCATTAAGGCTGAGAGATATAGGAATGCAAACTCCAAGCAAAGGGTTCAATGCTATTGCAAGATGATAATGCACTGAAAGAAAGACAGTAGGCTGCTCAGGTTAAAATATCAGAAGTAAGAGGCCTGTGCTTCCTCTACTCATAGTCATAAATCCTAAAACTTCAACCATTTTCCTCAAACTCTAGGGAACAATGGGACAGCATATATGTGCTTCAGCTCTTGGGGGAGACAGGCTCCTTTAGTAGACCCTCATCCATCTTCCCTGGAATAAAAAAATTGATTATTTTTTTGCTGAGCAGTGAAATGCAGATCTAATTTTTAAAATCTTCACTTGCACACCCACCACCCCCACCCCCCCATAATTAAAAAAAATAGTGAACCCAGATCTTAATAACTTTGTGTTGCCAAATATCATCCTGGCAACTTAAAGTAAACCAAAGTTTGCTGAGGAGGGTATGATCTAGTTCGAAACAGAACAATCTCCAAAACCATAAGACTCCACACAGAATAGAAATAATTTATGTGGTCCATTCACATGGACATATGAATAACCGTCAGTCGACGTATCAAAAACAGGAGGAACAATCTGTACATGAGTGAATGCATGGAGGTCTAGTGTCTTGGTGGAGAGCGCTGCACAAAAGGACACCTGCCCCCTCCTCAGGTATTTAAAGGAAATTACTATTTCTTTTAGCAGACTGACCTTACATTAGGTCTTCTTGGTAGATATACTGATTCAAAGTTCCTCTTCTTGAAGCCTAAACCTGGCAAATTGTATTATTCAGCTGCATGAGATTATGTCTGAAGCATGGTCTCACTGGTTTCTTAGGAGAACCTGAAGTCTATTGATGAGATAAAATAATCATATGGGAACCTCTGGTGGAAAGAGTAGGTTCTCCTTGGTCTGGAAGATAACTAGGCTCCTTTGAATTCTATGCTACTGGATTTTTAAAGGAAAATATTTTTTTAGCATTATTTCAGCTTCAGAATCTAGAATTCTAGGATTACTCAATTGAAACCATCTATTAGATTAGCTGCTTGACTGTTGAATTGCTTCACTGTCCCAGTCTTTGGCCAAAACACAGATGGGCTCTGATACCTTGGGTTCTTCAAGATACCCTTGAGAGAAGCCCTCAAGGGTATCTCCATAGCAAAGGGCAGGGACCCAGCATCCGTACTAAGACACTTTTATGATGACACCTGGGTTTCACTGGACAAATGAATGGATACCTGTCAGTAGGCATTTTATGTATCAAAGAACAAAACAGGCTGGGAGATCTAACAAAAGAATTATGGAAAATGAACACTGTGAGCTACAAGTCTTTACCTGATATAATTTAAGAAAGCCTGTTTTTAAAGCACTCTTTCAAAAATACTCTGCTGTCTAGGAAGGAGAAAATAAAGAGGCACAAGGTGAGATGCTATTGAACCCAAGAGGAGAAGAAAGAGTATATGTGATCCTACAAAGAGACTGCTCTATCAGGACAGGTCTCCTTCACACCAGCAAGTCACAGTGATTCCAAAGCTGCTGGTTTGGATATCACCCTTTCAATCTCGCAAAGAAAGATGACTCTGGTACCTGGCCCACAGATGAAAGGTTCATTTTAGGCTTCTGGCCCTTAGACTACATGTAATACGAGTCAGAAGCCTAATGACTTTCATGTCTCAACCTGTTAGATGCTGGAGCCTGCAACCTATGCCTTGACTCATCCCTGGAGCAGTGCTCTTTCAGGCAAGATAATGAAGACCTTAGTTTTCATAGACAATACTTCATACGACAGTAAGCCTCAGGAGGCTTCAACTGGACAAAGATATCTATGAGACCCTGCCTTAGTTTTGATCTCATTCACACACACACGATATTGGCAGAAAAGGAAAACATACAAGCAGTGCTGACCAAACCCTTGGATTAACTAACAAAATCAGACTGTAGATATAGACTAACTGGGTCAGACTCCAAGGGACAATCTGTATTAAAGTCTAAATATTACTAGATAATTTGTACGCAGCAGTCACTGTAGAGATATATATATATATACACACATATGTACATACACACAACCATTCCAAAAAAAATCACGTTAAGGTAAAATCTCACAGATAAAACTCAAATGACTATATCATGATTGCCACCTTATTGCTTCACGCCATCATCTTGACATCCAGATGAGCTTAATAGTTGCTCTTTTGAAGCTGCTAATGTTAAAAATAAATAAATAAAAAAAATCAAGTTCTGGAAGTGGCTGAGAATTCCAGGTTCTAACAGCTATGCTGGAAATACTCACTCATCAAGGGGTTCAAAAGACACTTACTGTCAGAACTGAAACACAAACGCATGTCAGAACAACTTGAAACAAAATGACTGTAACTCAGAGCTTGGGTTTTCTTTAAATTATGTTTGAAGAGCTTTAAAATGCTTAATTTATTAAACCAGCTTTGATACTACAGGCATACCTTCCACTTTCAAGTGCTACAATGGCTGAATTGAACACAGCATACATTAAGTCTAAATTCCACTGCCACCATACACAGTTATGAAAGACTTTTTAGTGTTTCTTCACTTAAAGTAACATGCTGTCCTGTGAATTTGACCTGGAAACAGAAAGTGCATGTATTAATAGCCACAGCCTCTCATACTGCACATGCAACAGTTACAGACACCATCACTACTCCAACTACTGAAAAAATCCTAAATAATCACAACTCCTAGCAGCTGAACACAAGCAGCTCCTAAAAAAAAAGTTTCCCAAAATGATAGATTTGGTTTTCGAAGAACAGTTCAAGTTTTTCCAGACATTGCTTCAATCTATTCTTGTGGGCCTGTGCTTTGTTGTGGCTTCTATTACTTCCCTCTGTCTGGCTGCCTTTGAGGAGCTTGTCTTAAGAAAGGCCATGTGCCCAGCCATTTCTCTTTATTTACTGTTCTCTTCCTCTTGCCCTGTCAACTCCCAGTGTCAGAGGCACTACTCCAGTCCCATCTAAAACTACATAGGCAATGCTTCAGAGGCAGCAGTACCAGTGAAACCCATGCTTAGAATGAAATACTGTGAAATGTGCCTTGCACCCTTTGGAAAGGCAAGTCGAGAGTTGCTGGATCAAGAAAAATGCTAGAAAGACCAGGAAGGTAACACTGCCTTCCCTCTATTGCAGGATTGGGCAGTGAAGGACAAGGGATAGACTAGTACTGTGGACACAATCAACCCGCTGACTGATAACCAACTCTTAGAATTACAGTATCACTACAGTGTTTGTCTGCCATCACTACCATGTAATATCCACATACCCCATGTTCAATGCACTGTTGTTTTCTTAAAGCTGCACTCTTATTTCATCTGCTCTTCAGACACTGTTTGCTCATGCATGCAGAAGTTTTCTAACTGCTTAATACCAGCAAGCTACCAGAGTCACAAATGCTTCATTCAGAAGGTAGGTGAGAGTGAAGAGTCTAATTATTTGAAAAGTCCTAAGATTCTATAAAAAGTATTCAGTTAATGCTGTTCTACATTTTGTTACATTCAACCTTGCCTTCACCTCAAGTGGCAGATCTGAATTACACATGCAGGAGAGCGGTTACAGCTCCAAAAGAAACAAAATAAATACCCCAACACCCCCACCTTTGGACTTAAATGCAGTATCGCTACAGGTTTTGAATGTAATAAACCGCAGACCGGGTGCCCTGGCACAAAACCAGAATTCTAGGTGGTAGAAAGCAAGTGCTCTTTACTATCAACTTCATTTTAGTGCACACAAATAGGGATTTGCAGAAGTGCCATTTGTCTGAAACACAGTGGAACAGGGGAAGAAAAGTCAGTCTCTAACCTCTTACGAACAAAGAAACCTAATTTAATTTTGAAACAAAAGAAACTAAATTTATCATTCTGAGACAGCCCCAGGACATTTAAGCATGAAATGGAAGAAAAGGAGTTGCCAAAGACATGCAGAACAAGCTTTTTAAAGTTACCTGGAATCGGGATATTTTGTAAGCGTGGCCAAGCTGCTGGTATACATGTGCCCACCCACATCAATGTGAACTGGTGCGTTGGACTTTGTGAGCTGTGCTGGAGTGGGGATGCCTTGATTGTTCAATGGAGATGCAGGGGATCTAGTGATCAGAGGTCTTGACATATTGGGCCGACTGTCCTGTGAAGAGATAGACCTGGGTTAATGACCCCCTTAAAAACCTCACAGAAATCCACAGTCTTGAGTCAATAGCACTGTCTCATAGTCTCAGCTGCTCATGACTTTTATCTTATTAAAGCACAGACAAATATTTGGCAGTTTTTTAAAAAAATCAATCCAGCTCTAAGAGTCTTTACTGGCTACATTCTAAATAAGTGAGGCAAATCCCCACTTAGAAATCATGTTCAATAAAACAAGTTCTTCCTGAATACTGCTCATGACGGAGAATCCATACCAAAAGAAGAAAGGTCATTTTCGTACTTAAGAGCTGATAAAGGTTCTGTCAGAAAGAGCTGCAGACAGAAAGACCATGAAAATTACTGTTTTCCTTAGTTAAGACGACCCCAGGTAGACTTTCTGCTCCTTCCCAAGCCCTCCATCACTGCTGTACAGCCAGAACATAAATACAAACCCTCAGCTCCTCCATCCTGCACACTCTTCTCTCGAACTCCCAATTCACATAGCACGGAAACAGAAGCAGAAACACCTGGACTAGTCAACTGCTCATGGACTGCAGACCACTGGACATCGGCAGCCTTTGAGAAAGACATTTTCCATTTAAAAGTTATACGTATGGCGACAGATGCCCCCACGTGTCCGCATAGGCTGCAGGTCGGAGCAACTTCCCGAGGCCGGCGAGCTCCGGGAGCGGAGCGGGAGCCAAAGCTTTGCTGATGAAACCAACTTTTAGTCACAAAGGAGGAGATGTAACGCCAGCAAAGAGCAGAGACAGGCTGCGCGCGCGGCGGGTGGGGCAGGGCAGGGCGATTTGCTGGAGCCAGTAAGGCAGGCTGCATTCAAAGTTGGGGATTAAAATAGAAATGCATTCGAGAGCGGTTTTGAGACAACCCTGCTTTCGACTGAAGGAAAGCTCCGTGCGGGGTGGAATCTTATAGGGATGCCCTGAGAACTAAAAGCCCTTGCAAATTACTAAGTTTTACATTTAAAAGGTAAGCAAAGCAGCGAGAAGCCAGATACACTTCATCACAAAACTCTCTTTGTTCTTTCAACACGTCTTTCAGCTGCAAAAGTAATGGATTCCTTGTAAACATTTCTGCAGAGCCAGGCAGCAAGCCTTGCAGAAGTGGAGCATGGCCATGAGAGAGAGTTACGGTGTATTCAGACTAGCAAAGCCTGCTGCCACTGAAAACATAATTTCTCCATTTTTCATGGTTGTTAAGAGGCTCAAACGGTAAGGGCAATGTGAGCCAGGTAAATGTCTAACTGAAATGATTTACAGGCCAATGTTGCACAATAAATCCAAGTAATATGTAACAAAAGGCATCCATAAACCACAAGGTACTTAACTAATTTTCTTTCATACACGAAAGCAAGCTTAGGTCAAATACTGATAAATATGAAGGGGATGAAGAAAAACATCTAGTTTAGATTGGGGGAAGGCTGGATTTCTTTTGTTTCTTTATAAGCAGAAGTTAATATAAATCTGCAGAATACCATGCTTAATCACTACAATTGCTTGAGGAGGTGCCTGCAGCGCAATGAAGACAAGTCCAGACAAAAAAAGGTACACACGCTATGCAAAACTAATGTCTGCTATAAATGCTATGTGGTACAACCACCACCCAAGATGCTACTGATCTGCAGTATGATATTTAGTAAAATAATGAAGAAAAAATTAAAAACAACTGGAAAGGTGAAAGTAACAAGGCAAGGAGTGATCCAAACTGGGGGGGGAGGGAGGGGGAGGGAGGAGTGGTAAAAAAAATGCATGCATTGGATGATTAGCAAAAGGAAAGCAGCAAGTATGAGGAATGGAACACATTTCAGTGCTTAAAACCAGACTAACAGTTTGATTTTATTTTAAATCGTCAACAAAGGCTGAAACTTAAAAAACTAAATTCTGTAACTTGTACAAAACAGACACTATCACCTCCCTTAGCAGGATCCTCTCTGGCAGAAAAACACAGCCCTGTTGCAATTCAGCAGGCTGCAGCACCACTGAGTCTGTAACAGTTTTTCAATTGGACACATTCTCCTGTATACCCTGCCTGGGGCTGCTCGGGAGAAAACGAACAGATTTGCGGGGTTAATATTGTAGTTAGGCTGGGACCTCATTCAGCATAGCTGTGATAGCACCGGCTGTATGAAACGGTAGAAGAATGTGTAGTATAAACATCACTGCCAGGATGGGAGATAGGTTAAAGGACTGTGGGCATTTTACAAAGCAAAAAAAACCCCAAAACCATAAGAAAAAAGGGAACTTGCTTCCAAAACCAAGACGTAACCAAGCTGCCATTTACACAGTTTACCTACTAAAACTACCAAGAAATAAAAAAGCTTTGTAATAAAACCTTTTGCTATCTTATTTCACCCTCCTTCTTTCCAACATTCCCCCCTTCGAGTTACCTGCATTTATTGTGCCTCAAGAAACAACACCCATCTGCTCAGTGTTTAGATATTAAATACAATAATGCTAACCTTGCTCCAGCCTTAGCTCACAAAGCACATTTCCCTGGATAAAACCAGTTCACTACTGTTTTGGAAACCACTTTGAAATTAGGCAATGGTACTTCTAGTGCAGTTGCCTCAGAGAAATTAAAGCAGAAATGGGATTTAGAGAACCAGGTGTTTAAAAAAAAACACACCTAAACAGTTTACGTGGCACAACCAACAGCACAGATTGCCATCCAACATGTATGGCATTAAGACCACTGACATTTAACAGATCAGAATTAATCCACTGCATTAGTAAAATCACTGTATTGTTTCGGCTATGGAAAAGATAACACAGGGACAAATAGCCTCTCTGAAGAAATACATAGCTTATGCTGGATAATTGCAAACATGAAGTGACCAAAGTTGGGTAAAAAGTGGTTAGAACAAAGCACTGCTGGTAAATTAGGCTTCTACTACTTAAAGTGATTACAAATATAATTCCTTAGAAACAACTACGGGACAAGAGAAGGGAATCATAGAAACTAAACCTAACAGGATCCAGCAAGCTATCTAGAACAGCTGAAGACAAGGATCAAAAAGCTCTTCAAGAAGCCTTTCGTGGCGTACTTGGTGTCAGGCAGCTGAGACTTGCACCCAGGAAGGGTTTATAGCTCAGCCACGGCTGTTCCCACAGAGGTTGGCATCTGTCCCGGGAAGTGTAACAACTTTATTCACAAGTGGGACACAAAGCACAGCTAGCGCCTGCACAGGCTGGATGGACAGTGACCTTTCTCATCACTAACTCTGTTTTTCACTCGGCATCTTTTCTTATCAAACATTGTAATATTTACCCTACAAAAAAATAAGTAAGACATGAAATCCTAGGTTTTACAACAGTTCTTGTGGACCAAAATACTTCAAATACCCTGTGAAACATTTATCATTATTAGTACCCAAAGATTTTCCTTTTCTAACAACTTCTCAAAAAAATGAGTTCCAATTTCCAATCAGAATGAATTTATTACTGAAACTACATACTCAAAAGTGCTAAAATCCCTCAGGTTAAATGCATTTAGGTCATATATAACTTTTCACTTTTGGTTCAGCACACAAAACTACTGCTCTATTAGAGCAGTTTGGGGCTCCTCCACTTTCCTGCTTATTATTT